GGCGTTCCACTCGGTCTCGTCTAAATAGTTGGTATCCGGATAGCGCCACTTCGAAATAACTGAGGCTCTGTGACAGCCATGTTTCTGTTATTGCTATAATATCAGGGGACTCATTGGCTACCTGTATTCGAAGTTCATCAAACGTCGAGAATAGACGCTGAGCGTTGGTATACAGACATTTTAGTCGGCGAGACTCCGCAGTGTCCAATTTGTTTGGGCGCGAGTTTGCCAGTACTACTGTACCGCAGCCGTCATAAGTATTGGCTGCTTTCAGAGCAATATGTTGATTCTCCAAAGTATTTGTCCCCTGAAGGTAGCCAGATTGCTCTCTCCAGCTGTTCATCTCCCTTGCATTTTCGCCACTTATTCTCGGCGCTTCAGACGTTCCCTCTGGAGAGTAGTCCGGCTGAAAAAAACACCACCTTATGTGACGGAGGGCTGTTTTCCGGGACAGAATCAAGTTCACTTGTTCTTTGTTATCCAAGACTATCTTAATAGGACGAGGTCAGAAATTTTCCGACTGTTCATTAACTTGCCTGCATATGCAGAACGCTGCGCAAACTTTTGCTGTCTCTCGCTGTCTGAAAATGTCTTTTAGCAGGTCCTTTCCTTTGGAGTATTTCCGTTTGACTCAGGTAGGCCTTGAACAACTATGCCGTTTTGGCGGTCAAGGGAAACCCTTGATATATTTCCAGCCCTACCGTCATCGGAAGACCCCAGGTATTGATAGGAATGGCCTGTGACCTTGTGTTTTCCTTACCTTCACCAGAGATAGGCTTTTTTTAGGAAGCTTGGATGACACTGTTCAGAGCTGGCTTCGTTCTGCCCACTTCTGCTGTTGTGGTTTCCTTCAGTGATTTGTGTAGAACCTTAGCATACCCACTACCTTGTTATTTGCTGGATCTCTGTACCCGAACCGACTTAACTAGAAAGTGGAGTTGCGAAATCTTCTTTCGGAAATAGTAAGGATTTCTTCTCTCAGTTTTGAGCCTGTTGTTTGGGGAGTGTGATTGTTTGCGCTGTATCAAGGGAATTCTAGGTGGAAGCTACCACTTTCAGGGCCCAGGATGACGATGCCTGTTCACTTTCCTCAGTTGATGATCCGCTCCGGGATTCTGCAATTTCGCTCCTGTGCTTGTTACTCTCGAGTTCAGGTATCGCCATTTTGTCCTCTTTAAGAAGAAAGGGGAGACATTTCTTCAATTTCTCCATTTCAAATTTTAGACTATGAAGCTCCTTCTCGTGGTTTGCTAATTTGTGAAGTAGCGTGAAACATGCCGTGCAAGCCTCATCGTTATATGTTGCACCCCTTAAAGTTTTGAGGCTCTTCGTTCGTTTGGCGGGAGAAGTGTTCAAAAAACTTCGCGACCGCTCTTTTGTAGTTGATAACCGAATTGGATCCTCTCTAACACCTGCTTCTATAGCCCAATCGGTTACCGTTCGACTACCTCCCGAGGCGACCGGGTTTCGATTCCCGGCCCCGCTGACCGTTTTGTAGAATAATCAAGGGCAATATTTTGTACTTCCATTTTAGGTTGCAAACGAAACGACTAAATTCAAAATCGTATATTCGCCTTTGTGACTGTGACGTAGTGTGTTTTCTGATATTCAAAATAACGACAATCTTCCGACAGTGTGTAAAGTACAGCAGAAATTTGAAGCAGACTGAGATAACAATATGCCTAATTTATTAAAAGCACTTTCAAATAGGTATGCACAATATGCGGATATTCACGAACGACTCAGACGTTTGTAGATATTCGAGGTCCTGAATAACTGCTGATCTTCAAGAATGCTGGACGTCCTTGTCACTGCTGCTTTTTTCAGGCTATTTTCACTTGCTTTGGTTGTAGGCTGTGACTTCAGATAAATGAGTTGAGAAACAAATTCCACTTTGACTCCGTCTGCTGATTAAGTACGACATAATAACAAAATTCCCGAGTTGCAGAAAGTACTTTTGCCCGTACAATTGAAGCGGAAATATCCAAAACAGTACTGAAAAGATGGTATCAGGACCCAAATAGTTCACTTTGGAGAGCAGAAATTATAACTGTGTCCAGTTGGGCTCAAAAATGTTTGTCACTGAGACCATTGACGATCTTTGTCGGCCTGCGTTGAACTTGTTCAAGAAAGTCCACATCTTTCTTAAACCACGGTGTCAAACCTGGAATTCCGTATTCAAGGTGTGGTCTCACAAATGCGCTACATATTTTACTGAAGAGTTCAGATGGGAAGATTTCGAACGCTCGTCTGATCCAGTGCAGGGTACCGGTTGCCTTCTGGATGGCCTTTATACAGTGCTCTGTTGGCATCAAGTCCGCACATGTCCATATACCTAGATCTTTGTGCGTATCAATCT